TCTACAATTTGACAACAAAATGTTTGGTCTCATTATTCTGCTGCATGTGAGCAGAGCTGAAACATCATTGTGTTCTGCTGCCGTCAACAGAAATAAAAATAACGGCTGAGTTTCCCTCTCAGGCCCTGACAGACGACCACATCGTCAGTTTGAGACCTGATGATTCGTCTTTTCCACCGGGACGATGTTAGAGCTTGTTCAAAGTTACGTAGTTCACACTTCACACCAGTTGGTGGCAGAAAAGCACTTTGTTGTTTGCTAAAAGCCAAGAAAACTTCAGATGAGCAGGTTAGTGGAGCAAAGTGGAAACTGCTTCTAGATGAGGAGCTGACACCGAGCCGGTGGAGGAGGGCGTCAAAAACAACAGAGATCCACCTCAGGCCCAAACACAAACAGGATCTTTGAGATCATTGAATTTTGGACCTTCTGACCTCCCGTCTCTTCAACAGCACTAAAAACTCTTCATAAAAACAGGTGGAGCCACACGGATCCAGAGGTCGAACTCCACCGAGCATCAGGTGCAGCAGCAGGCCGCGTAATTAAAGCACGTGTGGTCGATGCCTCAGAAGCAGGTGATTCACCGTCCTCAGACCTTCATCCTCACAACATGGCTACCATCACACTGTCACTCATCATCATCTTGTGACCCGACATCATGGGATGTTTTAAGAAAATACATATTTCTGCTTTTTCTTTTCAAACTTTTAGAAACTGAAAATAATTTTGAACAAACGAGCCAGAATCTACAACGGCCGAGACGAATTCAAAATCCACAACACACAGTTTTTCATTGACGACACCTTTTGTCGCTCACTTTGTGATCGTGTTTCCGTTGTATGGCTTTTCCCGTTGTGTTGTGTGAGACGTGTCTCGGCCTCTGAGAGGATCTGTAGTGATTCATAATTAAGAAGCTTCACGTGCATCAGGAACGTTCACCTGTTACATCCAGTTTTTTATTTCACTCAAATCAAAATAATCTGTTGATAAAAATATGTATTTTTGTTTGAAATCGCCAGAATCAGTTTGATTTGAACGATCGTCAGAATCAGTCAGAGACTCAAACGCTTGTTTCATAAAGGAACCTGATTATTTATTTCAGAGTTCTGAGGTGTTTCTGCCTCCTTCAGTCCGAGTGTTGGTTCGGAGGAGGAGGAGGAGGAGGAGCAGGAGGAGCAGGAGGCAGCAGCATCACTATGATGTGGACGATTACATAAAACTATAATTATTACTACAGAGCTGCGGCTGCATGATACAGCAGCATCTGTTACCAACAGGATTACGTGAGCCGGAGCCGGATTTCAGTCCAGTGATCATCCAACATGGCCGACGGCAGAGGAGGGGGACCGTTAATGCCAAAAGAAAATAAGACTTCACTTCCCTCTGTGGTGTCTGATGGACAGAATAAATGTCTGAGACAGAGAGGATGGAGGGATGAGTGAGGGAAGTTAGTAAAAAGATGGGTGAAGAAATGAGGGAGGAAAAAAAGTGAAGGAAGGGATGGAAAGAGAGTGGATGAGAGAGGGTTAGCAGAGGAGACGGGTGGATAAAAGACAAGGGACGATGAAGGATGGAGCAGTAGAGGGATGGAGATAAAGGCAGGATGACGGCTGATGTAAGAGGAAGAAAAGTGAAGACAGAAGATATGGACATGAGGATGGACGAGTAAATGAGGAAAAGATGGAAAGACTGACGAATGGATGGATTAAAGGGAGGAGAGAGGAAAGGAAGAAAAATTATACTATACTGGGGGGGCTCTCTCCTACTCTCCCAAACAAACGGATTAAATGTAACATCAAAGCATCAAAGCATCAAAGCATCTTCACACTAACAATCTGTTTCTTTGACACATCGATGAGGCTACATCCATACCGCGACGTTTTATTTTGAAAACAACAGAGTACACAGGAAGTAGTTACGTATTGTTGAATAACATGTGTCTCCTCCATGTAAACAGCCGTATCATTGTAAAATACAGAACCGAACTGCAGCTGTTAGCAAAGACGACAGGGTCAGTAACACCCTCCATGTTGTTTTACTCTGGAAGGAGGTCATGTGACAGGAGACCAATCAGAGAAGGCTACGTCACGACTAAAAGAACCAATCAGCAAGAGGCTGCGTCTGAAATCACAAACGCATTCACTGCTCCCTCTTCACGATGAAAACTAAATATACACAAGGAGGGTGGTTGAAATGTTTTCTTACGGATTGGGACAGCCCCTCAAGAAGCCGTTACATCATCAGTAGTCGTCACGGAAACCCTAGCATGCTAATGCCAGCACGCTCGCAACCTTTTTTAACGTTGTTGTGGAAGAAAAATGACCATAATACCGACAACACTACATTAGAGGGTCTCTCTCCCAGCTTGCCTGTGATTTGCAAGGCATTGTGGGAAACGTTCATACCCCAAGGTTTGAAGTGAGGGTCGGAAAAATCTGTTACACTAAGCCCCGCCCCTACACGTGAACATGCAAAACAAAGGGGAGGGTGTGAAATGGAGACTGTGGATGGATGGATGAATAGATGGATGGATGAATGGATGGATGAATGGATGAATAGATGGCTCAATGGATGGATGGATGAATGGATGGATGGATG